GGGAAAGGAAGGTAGTGAGCAAAGAAATCAGTTTTGGCGACGACTGTGTAGTTGATTTGATTTTCTAGGACTTGGCAAGTCACTTAAGAAACTAAAGTGTTATCAAAACATAAAACAAGCTTTAAAAATTTTATTTATTTGTATTAGTAGTTATTACTATTACTCGGTTTCAGATTTTTAACCATCTTTGCCACTGCTATTTTCCATTATGCCATGTTTGGATGACAAAAACTTGTTAGTCCATTGAATTCATTATAACGTGTTTTCAGCCAGTTTCTCTTTCTAAGCATCGTAATCAAACAAGAATGAATGTTTGTACTTGATCATGCTGTTTATTACAGCTCCCTTTTCCCCACACCTCTTATGTACACGCAGCCACTCATTCAAATCCGTAAAATGATCTCAGGTGTGCACCTGAGAGCCAGGTGAGAGAAAATATCTGTTATGGTCAACTCAGTTTCACAAGTGCAACAGTCTTTAACTTCACCTCAGAATAAAATGCCAAATATTTAAGTTTCTAAAAAACACACTGCACACACTGTTATTCATGCACAATACACATACTGCCATAAACAGAGCCTGCTTCTGCCATCCTCTGATTAAATTTCATTAAAACTAACCATAACCTGTTTGAATTCTACTATTGGTCTGCAGATGATGCCTGCAAACTCTACATATATTCCATATATTTCGGCTTTTTGGCACTTTCTCTCATCAAGTAGACAAGTAGTAATCACACTTTCCAAATAATTAATAATACTGATTTGGTTCTTCTGCATACTTCTAAGGTCAGTTCATCAAAATGTACGATCATCAGAGTTATGACTTCTCACGATAGCACAACAGCCACAAAAAATAACCTATACTCAAGACTAACAGATTTCCTTCCAGTTCTTCAGAAAAGAAGTTATACTTCTAGAATCCTCTTCAGAAACTCCCAAAATAATTTTAGCAAGACCCTGATGAGAGTATTTTATTTTAGAGGGTTTCAGATTGTGTAATAAAGCTTAACAAGCAGTATATTGAACAACAAGCTTAAATGTACAGACAGCGGCGGAAGAACTGATCACAGCCACACCAGTGCCAAGACAGACGGTGTGGCCTGATGGGGAACCCAGGGAGGGGACAGAAAAGACATAAAAGACAGTCATTGGTTACAGAGGCATGGTTATTACTTAATACACTCTGCTTTCAAGATGAATCTTTAAATTGAATGACTCTAAATAACAGAAGGTTCTAAAGAATAAGAAATTGGGTTTGAAACAGCATTGTGAAGGCATCCAGCAGCACCATAACAAAGTCGTTTCTTTAGGGGCCAGCTGTAGCTTCAAAGGAAAGATTTGCCTAGGGCAGAAACTCAGCACAGAATCTGCAACCTTGATTTTTAATTAGGCAAATTTTGAAAGCAAAAGTCTGCTATTCCAAAAAGAAGTTCCCTGCTTTAAGGTACATGAACTGGTAAAATAATTGATCATTCTTGGTTGGTGATAACAGTAGCTAAAATATTTCTATATTAGCCTGTTTCCAATGCGGTACCTCTGGTAACACTAGCAAGAGTTTTTCTGCCCTATCAGCAGCACCTCCGAGTCCACAACATTTGCAGGACAAAAGCCACCTTTATGATTAGATTAAACCTCTATTTTCAGAAACCTACTCACAGGTAGACTCTTCCCATAATAAACACATAAAACACCTGCAAACACCACCTAGTTAACCTTTGACACCATGAAGTAAGCAAACACAGCAGCAGCAGAATTCAAGAAACCTGATTTCCTCAAGCAAAGCGTAGGTCCTCTTGGGTCTATTAAAATAGTCAGATCTATAGCACAGCCTTTCCATAAGAGCAGAAGCAGAAGGATTAGAGACAAGGCACTGATATGATCATCCTGTGAATCTTCCCAATATTTTACAGAATTTAATAATGCTAAGATCTTCAGCTCTCTCAGATTCAGCAGAAAAGGGTCAACACAGCAAAAATTATTCAGGTGACAAGGAAGGTGGAAAGGCAGACAGAGAGGGAAAGATGACACACTGGGAATAAACTAGGCTAAAATTAAATATCTAATCATTCTGCCTAACCTAAAAAAGTTTGAAAAACCCAGTTTCAGGTAGCAACAAGCATTTTGTCTGTGAAAATGAAGCCAATTCAAAACACTTCAAGAGGCTTCAAAAGAAGAACGAAGACTGACATTACTCTAAGGGAAGGCACTGAACCTTTCAGCATTTGATGGAGTGCAGGTTAACAGCTGGTTTTCTTGAGGCAGCACTGCAGCAGGTAGATACCACTCTGGGCTTCAAGCAGCAGTGGGAGAACAACCCTGCAATCCAACCACCACCATTTTTAAGCCAGTGTGTTTAAACCAGTCTTGCACAGGATTAGCCAAAACAGCAGTTAAAATGCCAGTGGCTCATTACTATCCACACACCCATTTTCTACTGAAACCAAAGCAGCTACCTCAGGGTTAGAATAGAAGAGTATTTTCAGGCAAAACTCTGCATGATGCTGAACCAGTTACAGACTTGTGCCCAGAAGCATGGCATCTTCAACGCTGGCCCTAAAAATCAGAATCCATTTTCAAGAACAAACATGCTATGTCATCTGCTTGGCTCCAGTGAGGATACTTACATTTCTATTTGGATTTCTCCACAATGTGAGCTTTAGGGCACATGCAAGCAGAGGAGGAGGCAAAGAACAGTGACAGTGAGGAAGGAAATGAGGTGGTGCTTTAAGGCGGAGGCATCGTCTCCAGCAAACAGATACACGTGCATGCTTTCACTTCATATTCACGTGCATTTTGATATGCATTATAAAAACCAATAAAACATGCTCCGAACATTTGGGCTTAGAGCAACTTTCATTTGCCTCTCAACTTTATGAACATTTAAAAATATAGGAAAAAAAAGAGCATACTCAGAATAAGATTAAGTTCATAATAAGGAGAATCTGGAAGCTGGAACACAAAGACACCTGAAAGAATATTACTCCCTTTTTCATATAATAATTAAACATTAACTCTGACTCCTATGATATTGTTTACACACGAGCATAGCAGCTGTATACATGGGCCTGTTACTCCTCACACACAACTCCAACACTAAAATCTAGTCTTTTTGCTATCACCAGAACCCTCATTCTGCCCAACTCTGCCTCAAAGATCTGGACACGTTCAGCTCACACCTGGGACACTTCCTAGAGCTATGCTCAGACAGATCTAGGAGATCTGATAACACCAAGGACTCCAAAAGCTTCATTCCGATCAAGTGTCTTCTCCAGTTGCTGTTCATTATTCTTCTACAAGAACAAAGATACCAAAGAGTTGGTTCATTTCCAACACTTCTGCAGCATCACATTGTCAGACTAATTCACAAAGTCCATGCCTACTGCATCCATTTAGTGGCTACTGGTTTAGTTAAAGCCTACTAATGCAACAGACAGGCGCTCTTTCCAACCTGTCACTCTGATACATATACATAGTGGAACACAGACTAAATTCTGTACTCAACTGAGGAAAGAAGATACAATTAATATGAAGTCAGAGCTGAGAAAACCTTGTGTGCTATAAAAACAACCATGATACCTAATGTATATAGCCCTCTGAGGAGAAGTTACCAACTTATGCACATAATTACAACAAAACAAGCAAAGAAAAACAAAAAAATCTGTCTCCATAGCTAGATTCAGTCCAACAAGAAAAAGAAACTGAGAAATACAGACCTTAAGAGACCAGCTACAGGTTTTCTGATGCATGTTACAAATGCATAAATTGACCATGCATCAGTACATCATGCACAGACCAGGGACTAGATAAGGAACTATCAAAAGGCACAAGGGAATTGGCACGGCAAAAAGGAAATGAGCCTTTACAGTCTGCATTAGGCACTGCCATATTGCTGAATAATACATCATCTTAAAAGTATTTGGTAAGGTGATAACTAATCAGCATTGTCAAAACAATGCAGCAATTCTTCTGTTTTCTTAATTAGGCTTGCAGAAAATCCGTATCGCCCTTTACTGTTTACAGAGGGGTACTACCCTGGGATTTTGGAAGACATTATTTGCAATGAATCAAAAGTAAGCTTGGCTTCATTGCTAAATCTCTGTCTTGGTGGAGGATTTCAATTCCAAATTCTCAGGGAAGGAAAATAGTCCTGTGTCCCCCTAGCCCCCATTGCAAGGGACAGTTCAAAAGCAAGAATTTCTACCCTTCTATATTTCAAGTATCCACCAGATTATTCAACCGAAAACACATCGGCTTGTCCTTACCTCAGTATTGTAACCATGACTTCATTTTTGAAAAACAGGCCTCATCCTATTGAATGCCACCAAACATGTACCTTATCCTTTAGCTCAAATATATTTTGCATGACCTTACATGAATTGCTTAGATAAAAGCCTTTTTTCTTCTACTTTTGTTATTTTAAAGTGCAGATGCATTTGAGTCATTTTCCCCTTTTGTTTCATATCCTTAAGATCCACAGCTTCAAAGACAAAATGTCAGCATGCAGTCGATTTATGACTGAATTCTTGAAGAGACACTGAAGAATTACCTTGTCAATCACCCCAAGGACTCTGAAGGCCTTCAGTTCCTCGGCAGGGCTCCTTAGGTTCCAAGAGGGCCTTGAACTTAGTGATCCTGGAGGCTAATGGAAGATATCAAAGATTATACATCAATCAGGGTGGTACTTGAAGGAAGACTGCCTGCTGAAGCAAATGCCAGGCCGAAGGAAACTAAATTTATCGTAAATCAGAGAGAGTGAAGATGAAAGGAGAAGTTTTCTGTTTGTCCTTAGTGGAGGGGGGGCGGAAAACAACTTGCAAGTAAATAAAAATGGAGATAACATTGAAAACAAAAATTTTAAAAAGAAAAAATAATGAATTTTTATATTTTCTATGCTTAATGGAACCTGGCAATCGATTATTCAATTCTTACCCCATCACAATAATCAAAGCCTTACAGGTATTCCGGATACAAAATAATTCAGAGATCACTGAGGAGGAGAAAGCAAATTAGAGGCTTTTTAAGTCACAAGAATGTAAAATACAGAATTATAAACAGGTTTCTCTTGCTCTCTGGTGATCTTTATGAAATCCTTTTAATAACAAGGTGCACAACAGAAACAATTCCTAAAACTGCCTTAGAAAAAGGTAGCTAGGTATGTATCATTAATCTAGAAATTAACACCATAGCAAGAAATTGGCAGGTGCTAACTATTCAAGTAGCTAATATGCATAGATTTTTGTCCATGCTATGTTTTGTAGTTTCTCAAGGCAAACTCAAAGCTTGCATGTCAGAGGAGAGAACGTTTCAACTGGAAGTCTTCTGAGACAAAGATCAACCTCTTAAGCATCACATATACCTTTGGCATGTTAACAAACATTTTCAGAAGTTTCCAGTTGCCAACTGAGAGAATTCATTAGATCTTCCTCCAAAAATTCAACATGCAGCTTCTACTAGAACCACAGACCTGGATTTCTTCCTCACAAATAAGGTAACTTCATTTGCACGGAAGTTGTATGCCAAACTCCTTTTAAGCATAACCTGGCCTCCTCAAGTACACTTCTATTGCACAAAGGTATAGGAAGAGAAAGGTGAAACTCCGTGATTTTCAGGCTTCTAAGAGGCAAAAGCTGTTTATCTAATTTGTCAGCATCCTGAGGCAATATTTAACAAATATGTCACAAAGGAAAACTGTTGGTAAGCAATTATGCTGTGGATGAAATGTTTAAGTATCACGGAAAATCAAGAAATTCTCCCTTATGATCAGAAACTCCCAGAAAAACTGAAGATCCTGAACTAGGTAATTCCGTTTGCTTCCCCTCTAGTGTTTCCCCTCCGGCATCCTTACTGTGCTATCCTCAAAGTCCAGAGCACCTCCTCGAAGTCCTCCCCAAAGCTGGTTCCCTTTCACATTGCCAGTCAATCACCTTCTCTCCCAAATTCTTCCTCAAAAATCAACACTTTAAGCATTGACAGCAAAATTCAAAAGAAAGTGTCATAAATATATGTTCAAAATGCATGGAGAAAAGTGTGCTTTGCTTTTCTGTTCACCTACTGGGCTCCATGTTTAAAAGAGTTTATTATTTATCTTCATTTATTTGTCTGGGTCTTACAATTGTTTTCTCATGTAAACACTGCCAAGCAAGAGTACCAACGGCAGTTAAGAGAAAACAGCCCAGATTCTACAAATCACTAAAGACTTTAGTATGAAAAAGAAAAAAAAAGACTCTATGTGAACTTTTTTCTCCAAACCTAATTTAGGTTCCACATTCTAGCGAGCTGTTGGAAGGTCGAGGGAGTTCTTTTGTTGGGTTGCATTTTGAAAGCGTGCAATTTTTCTGCAATAACGAAATATTTGCTTTGAAACAGAGTTGTGCTAACACAGAGTTTATTCATGGCAAGATTTCAAAAGCATTCTAAAGAATACTTGTAATGAAAGAGTAGTTCCAAATCCTCTAGACTACTATAAAAGATTTCCACTTCTGTCTGCATGCTAGTACATCTTATAACCATTCCTCGACACTCGAGCTTTTAAAATTTTCTCTTACGCATAACATGTCAACCATGAATTAAGTTCACACATCTCTACAGAAGTTAATAGTGGTCTAATAGTGCTATAGAATCAGATTTCTGCACCCATCATGTCTGAAGAGCCCAGAACAAACAGTACATATTTTTGGGTCCATCTCTAAAATATCACTCATGGTGGCACAGTCAGTAATACTGTGTACACACACTGTTTTCACATATGCACTCTACAGTCACTTCTTACCTTAAAATGATTTACAATCACATCCACATCTCCACAGCTCCCAGTAGCTTCTCCATTTTTATCAGTTTCAGGTTATTTTTTGCTCTTTACAGTGCTTTGGTTTCACTGTTGCAAATTCTAATAGTAGAGCCCAATGATGGGGAGGCATCACATTCTGTCGTGAAGCAAGCCGGAAGCAAACTCTAAATTTCCAATTCGCAGAACTACAGCAATTAAGCACTCTATGAAGCCGCCTGCTCCTCTGAATAGAGTAAAAATCCAAGCTCAGCATCTAGCCAGCACTCTCATCAAAAATAGAGGAACAAAAAAACAAAAACAACCAAAACACCCACAAAAAACAGGAGGGTAACAAAAAGTCAAAAGTTTCATGTGCCTTTAGAAATAAGGCATTTATATGCTAAAGAAAGTGACAGGCTACCTCTGCCTTCAGAAGGCATTCAGCAGCCTCTCCAAATGCTCAACGTGCTGCTCAGGTATCCCAGGATCTTCTCTCCTGTGGCTGGGCCCTACATGTTTTGAAACTATTTCCTGACTACACTCTGAGCTGCGCAGCTGGAGTTATCTGACTTAGGATTGGCATCCTTTCCCACCATCACCTTTTGGCTAACGTGCGCCAATTTCAAGTAGAAAAGGATGATGTCAATTGTGATGCTTGCCTCTGCAAAGACTTAGCAGCTTGTGGCCACCACTTGCCTTCAGAGGGCTCTAGTTTTGCAAACTACACAAGGAAATATGGCAATAGCTCTTGCCTCAGCTTTGGCATCACTGCCAGCAGTTACAAGAGCAGCGGGAGAAAGAGAAGTACACCACCAGCCACACAAGACAAAGAGGCTCTCCTGTTAACCCCATTTAAGGCAAGAGCACTATCCCTAGCCCAGTGGCACAAACACCATTTGATGGGAAATTATTTTAGTGCTGATGCTGCCACCTTTGACAGCAGTCACCACAGAACCTCAGGATAAAAAAGGAGCACTTTCACAAACAGCAGTGCAGAGCTGCACATCAAAATGCGATCTCCTCTCACCATTCAGAGGTCTGCGTCTGATGACTTCAGTAACTATCTACCTGTAGTATGGCCAGACCCTCAACTGCAGCAAGGAGATGCCTTGTTTTGAAGCAGATACTGCTGGCCTGAGGTGCGAGGCTCCACACCATGGGTGTGAAAGAGCTTCCAGCACTCCCAGTCTGGCAGAACATCTTGGCCCCTTCCTCACACTGCACCAGGAGAAAATAAGGTTGCATCTCTGCATGCATCTGACCTAGACAGAGCCATGTTGTGCTTCAGAAGGTCCCCACTGAACTCCAACTGGGGACTGTTTCTCTGAAGCTGGGACACACTTTGTGATCTTCGAAGCCTTGAGACAGAATTTCTTATTTTATGTTAAATTTACATCTCTCAGAACTACAGCAGTGTATTTTCTTTATACTATATGTAATTTTCATGCACATTTAATCAGAATTTTAAGAAGTAAGACATCTTATGAAAACCATGAAGAATGAAGACTGCTTTACCTGTTTGGGCATCAGGCTTGCATGTACCTCTTATTATTGAATTGCTTTTTTTTCTTAAAAACAAAGGCTTTTAGAATGGTGCAAAAAGAAACAATTCTGAATATAAGAAATTAGGCATAAGTAGAATCATAAATAATTTCAAAGATTGAAAAAAAAATATGCATTATAAAAATACCAACAGTTAAAACAGACCCACAGCCTGTACACGTAGCTGTGCTGGGCCTTGCAGCTGACAGTTATGTGAGACTGCAGCTTTCTGACAGTCAGTCTGGTGTGATTCAAAGGCTGTTGCTGCAGCACCTACTCACGCTTGGAGATGGCTCCCCAGAGCTGCTACTTATAAAGGGGTAGAGAAGAAAATACAGCTCAAGAATCTGCAAAGTGGCCTGCTGCTGCCGTTACACAGCATTCTTGAGTGTTCGTCGGCGAGAAGACCCTTGAGGCTGCCGTGCTGTGCCAGAGGAGGAAAAGAAGGACAGCATTTGCTGCAGTTTGTTTTTCTAGAAGGTCTACATGCCCATTTATGACATCCAGAAGCTGTCTCCGCGTCTCCTACTCCTATGGGTCATAGCAAGGTTTTTCTCAATGTTTACAAGACCCTGTCAAGTGAGTTCCCAGTTCATGGTCAGTCACAGTTGCATCAGTTCTCTGTGCTTTTTTTCAGCCTTAAAAAATCTTCTATCCATCCTTAAGCCCTCTACCCATAACCTTTTTTTAACAGGGCCAAGTGTTCTCCAAACACTTCCTCTTGTGCTCTTCTCTTCACCACTCAGACTTGCCAGCAGCAGGTGGTTGCTAAGGATGTTATCCTTGAGGGCTACACTGTTGGCTATTTGTTGAGGCCAGAAAAGTAACTACTATTGTTCTTTGTTTGGTTTCCATGGCATCAAAGATAATTTTTGCTTTTCAGCTCTGAAATGCCAGGCTTTTGCCTCTAGGGAAATCTGGTCTTCAAAGAGGCAAGGGCCTGGCGTTTCAAGCAGTGGAAGAATGGCTCACTTCCTTCTGCCCCAGGCACCCAGAGGAAAGCCACCACACTTTACCTTCACATGGTGTTCAGATGGCAAACAGGTGGCTTTGGGTGTGTTTAGCAGGCATAGTCTTTTGAAACTGCTGCACATGGCTCAGCACATGGCTGGCATCACAAGCCTTTGAGAGATACGAGAAGCTGACGGGTGCAGGACAATTACTGAACCTAACCTTATCTCTTCCCTTGCTGGACATTTCTCTGGCATGGTGGATGAGAAAGAAGTAAAATATCATGTCTAAGAGGGACAGGTGAGCCTAGTTTTGATGCTGATCACTGTGGCTGTTCCTTCTAAGGGCACAATAGGAAACACAATGCTATCTACACCGGACATGGGTGACAAAGCAGTTCTGCCTTGTAACATCAGGTCATGAACAAGAACACTTTGCCTTAAATGCCCATGCTTGCTTACTAGTCAGACTTCTTCCTCCAAGGTGAAAATGGTCTCAGCACCCTCACTGCCCATGAAGTTCGCTGCACTGAACCACGCTCCCCATAATAAAACCACACTCTGCCAATTGTAATATAGGCACAGGTACTGCTAGGGTGCAGTATTTGTCCATCATTTTCTTGCAAACCAACTTCAGTTGTATGGTTCAAATTGTGCAGCACTTGGCCATGCTTCTGCGAAAGGCTTCCTACATGTGCAGTGGTTGTTCTCAAAGACTTCAATGTCCCTCCAGCACAGAAGAGTTGATGAGAGACCTCTTTACAGATCCATGTGGGCAAAGAAGGTATTGTACATTGTTATTAAACATTGGCATATATATCCTGTCCAAGCACCAGCATTTGAACAAGAGATGTTATCAGTCAGCATCACCTACAGCAGTAGGAGGTGCTAGTGGTAATAGACCAGCCTTGCCTCAGCATGACTAATGGCATATAAATGGCAGTCAGAGAGATATCAAGCTGGTGTGAAGTGACAGTGCAAGGAAGCATACACACTAACCTTGTACACTATAGACTATTTCTTTAGGAGGACACAAAGTATCTGCATGTTTCCACTAGTATCTCCCAAGAATCACACTGTATATAGATGCAGGTCATGTCAGTGCACTTATCGCTGTCTGCATGGGGTGGAATAATTCTTGCAAACTCCAATATAAACTATCTTGGGCAGTAAAAAGGATAAGCAGTAACTAAGGTGCAAGAATTCAGGTCTGCTCAGCAACCAACATGCAGGAACAGTCCCATTCCTCACTTTCCTTAAGACACTAAGCCAAAGCACAGAGCATGCCAACTCTTAGTGGTTCCTACCTCTACCCTTACAATAACTTTGGGAGAGAAGTCCTTCTCCGGATTAACTTTCAGCTATCAACTCAGAGACAAGCTCTTCCTCACCACAACCATCAGGAACCATCAGCACCATCTGCCCTTGATGCTAGCAAATTCCAAAGCTCTAAGATAAAAGTCAAATTTATGCACTATGAAGACCAGTAAATAAAGGATATTAAAATACATGTGCAGACTTAGGTAAAACACAGCCAATAGTGGAAACATGGCTTTTCTGTAAAAAGGAGGATAAGTCAGGTGCAACACTTTGCTTGTGCAAAGTCAGATTTGCCCTAACTTGACAATTTTGAGTTTCAACACAAAAGGAGAATGGTTTTCTATTCTCATCACTTTTTCTTTTTCTTGTCTTATCCCAGTTAATCCTGTTTTCCTTTGGATCTGAAAGAAGGCATGTGCCTTATTCAGTACAGCACATAAGAGGAAATACTTCACCTCTCAAGTTCACACACAAAAATGCAACCTATTTCTTCCTCCTTCCCAACCACAGTTAGTTTTTAAACTTATAAAAAGGCAAAAATAGGTTGTTCATGGTTTTTTTTTCTTGTTCTGCTGGTTTCCAAACACACTGAGGTTTCCATTCAGTATAGATTCTTCCCCATTTTCAGGGGGAAGGAAAGAAAGACTACCTAGTAGGAGTTCATATCAGTCCAAAATACTAAATTGTTCAAAGTACAATTCATAGCAGCAGCAAGACTCCAAACCTCGCAAAATATATCCCACTTGGAACATCCTCAAAATTGTACTTGTGGATTCTCCACATAAAAAAAAAAAGCTATGCTCCAAAATCAGTGGTTTTGCTTTTTTAATTTACTTATTAGGCAGTCAGATTTTATAAGGCTCCCCATTTTTGCAGCAGTGGTCTCCTCAAAGCATTTTTAGATCTGTGCAAAATAAGCAGCAATAATGTTCTGCCCCTTTTGTCCTCACTTGATATAAACGTAGAGAGACAGGAAGTTGGTAACTTTTATATTTACTGCAATAGGGCAGTCATCGACAGTCACACACAGTTTAGCATGACTGCAGTAAATTCTAAAGTAAGAATAGATAAGTCCCAAAGGAACTGTTTGGGGAAGGGCAAAGTAGAAGTTTATTGAGGGTATCTTGGAACAAGCTTTGTTTGTCTTTTGTACAAGTACAGATAAGGGTGTTTCTGCTTAAAAGGTGGGAATTACTACAGAAACTCCTCAAAAAATCAAGAAGCAGCTGATCACTCAAGAATATTCAAGAGAGACATTTGAAAGGATCAGGAAGAACCTTTGCTCAATTAAGTACTTATTTTGTGGGAAATTCATCTCTCTCACACACACACCCCCACCATGTGTTTGGCTCACTTCTGACACAGCATTATGTGCTAGGCTAAAGAAACCAACAGCCTTCTCGCTCTCTACAGGACTAAGCAATATTCTCACAGGAAAGTAAAAATAAATGTAACATTCTAGTGTGGTTTTTTGCTTTACGTTTAAATTCTCTAGTATGATTAAAAATGTTTGCATCATCGACTGAATAGAAGGAAAGCATGTGAAAAAACAGGCCTGAATTAAATCGAGCACTCTTCATAATGCTACAAAACGCAACCAATGAGAAACAGAAAAGAATGGCAACAGAAATGTAAGATCAAAATACTCCTCAGGCCTCCTGAAAGAGAAATTCTAGACGGTTTTTGAACCTCACGCTCGAATATGCTTTGCTAAAAGACAGGACAATTTAATTATACCAAATTCTGGTTCAGAAAAAAAGAAATTAAAGCCTACCATAGAAACAGATGCATCTTCAGAGGATTTATGGTAGAGACTGGAAATTTTTTCAGCACGTATAAGGTATTCTGCAGTCTTCCTTTTCACTGCTTCTCGACGAGTCGGACTTGATTCACCTCAATAGAGAAAAAAGAACATTACTACCTCTCTCCATAGAAAAAATAAGTAATGAAAACACATGACTGCTTTGATTCTACCTTTTTTCTTTCCTTTGGGTTATTCATAATCAAACCTACAGATACACATCTTATAAGAAGCAAGTACTGTGATCTCAGAGTTCTACATAAATAACAACTTAAGCCTTGCTGTAGACTAAGATAAATAAAAAGTCTCACCTCATTTTTCTGTGATCTGGTATATGTTCCTATGGTAACATAAGTAAGAACTGAAACAAACCACTTATCCAAATGCTGTACTCCAAAAAAAGTCAATTAGGGAAGACATGATAAGATGTTTACAATCAAACAATAAAGAAACTTGGGTTTTGACTCATGTTTCTAATACGGGCTTTCCTAAGTATAAAGGAAAGCCAGAAATGCTATTAATAGCCAGAAGTCAACATGAGAGACACCAAGAACTCTTGACCCCAGCTTTCTGATGCTAGCTGCTCCTTGCCTGTTGGCTTGGGATGACATTGGAAGAAAGAAAGGAGCGCTTGCACCAACTACTTCACTTCCAAGATGACTGAACCACCACTTTGTTATGTCTAATCTACCCAAACTCTTGCAAGAGATGAGAACCCCGTGATACTACGCAAATTCTGTATTCACTCTCAAACTTACGGTTTAATTTTAGGCATTCACATCATGAGCACTATATTGTTACAATAGACTCAATTTGTGTTGACAACACCCAACCAGTCAACCACCAAGCAAAGATAAAAAGACTGTGAGCCGCAATTGTTATAACAGAGAATTGAGATTACTCTGCTGAGTAATCTGCAGTTGACAGTTAGTGACAACACCTCCCAGAAGTCTGAACAATAGCAGAGACTTCATACGGCCCTGAAAGTCTCTTCCAGTCCTAACTGAGCCCATCCAAGACTGGCAGAAACACAACCTTGGCTGTGATGGGCTTCTGCACTGACAGGCGCAAGGCAGCACCTCTCACAAAGCAATGCTAAAACAGGGCAAGAAACTGCAAGGATACCTGCCTAACAGCTACTCAACATGAAAGACAAGTCAAGGAACAGGAGAAGTAATAAATTAAACACGCAAATACACAAACCCTAACCAACAGCAGATAACAGAAACAATAATGAAGACTAGAACTCATAAGACACTGATCAATGGGCCATGAAAGGAACCTCTGAGCATAACCTTGAAGAAGTTCAACCAGAAACTTGGTAACTGATAAGAAAAAAAAACAGGACTATTGTGGGTTATCAAGAACAAGTCTCATAAAAAAGAGCAAACTTATTATGGGATGTCTGAGAGAGAACTTACTCTGTAAATGCTTGCATGCAAAACTTATTGTGGAAGGTTTTTATGGGGGGATTGTAGCAATGTGTAACACATTGTGAGATGTTTAAGAGCAGGATTAAAGGTGAGGAAAGGGAGCGCTTAAGGTGGAGATGGGGCACAAGCATGAGAAAACAGGGGCGAGAATTTCATCGATCGATTGTGTATAAGCAGGCTGCTGGTCAATATGCTTGTCTGACTGAACCCCGTACCTGACCACCAATGTCTGTCCAATCTTCTTATGAAACTCTGTTCCTTACTATTTTCTGCATTAGTGTGCTCATTATTCTCTGTGCATAAGATAGGCCAACAAACTTCAAGCCAGATAAGTAGGCAAGACAGACAAAATGTCCGAGAACTGGACCATGGACCTTGGGGCCAGCTACCTGATAGACCCAAACAGCAGGTCTTTCCCTGACCAGCAATAGCTGAAAAGAGGTTGAGCTGTTCACACTGCCTGTGGTTATGTAGGTGTTTGTAAAGGCAATATCCTTCTGCCAGTGTCAATCTCTTTGTGGTCAACCATGTCCATAAAGAGTGTGCATGCACACATGCAAGCCCCTCTCAGAAATTTGCACTTGACTTCTCTACTGGTAGGACCCAAAGAAGAGGTAAGCTGCAGCCATGTCTCTCCAGCAGCTCAGGGTGGGAAGAATCACTCTGATCCTTCGGTCAGCCAGATCTGGCTAGCTTCAACACCGGTTCCTTAATAAAGGAAAAGGAACAGGTTGTCCAACGGTTCAACTTTCCCAAAACACTTTCTCGATGGCAGAGAACAATGTATGAGGTCTCTTCAGAAAGTTCATCGAGAGTGCTGTAGGCTCTCAGCAACGCAGCTTTCCCCCTGACCCATACAACAGAAAATGAATCATTGCTCTTGCTTTAAACAATCCTTAGACTGCCCTTCCCTTTCATATCATGTCTACAAACTACCTAAATACACAGAACCATCACACAAACTCCATCAAGAATAAGTGGAAGAGACTTATGATCTACTCCAAGCTCTGCTGTAAGTGATCTATTGTAAATCTTCTTATCCACCTCACAGCAGGAGTGAAAAGTGATTGTCACCTCCTTGGAGGTGCTCTGCAATAACCTTTGCCTACACTTGGTTTGGGAAGACACTAGGCAGTCAGAAATTCAGTGCTCTTTCAGCATACAATATTATGGATAGGTACCAATTTCTCAGTAGTTTGTCTCATTCTAAAGACAGAGGGGACTTTGTACCAGATCCAGTACCTCTAGTATCAGCCTCTACTTGGTGAGACCCTCCTGGTGAAATTTCCTTAAATGGAACTGCCAGTCTTATTCCCATCCAGGATTTTTTAAAAAAAAAACAAACCCACACACCACACCCCACACATACAATACCACCACTCAATCGTTTGAACTTGGATTTGGCTTTATCAGAAGAGACACAGTATTTTATAAGTGTGTGTTGTAATTTCTTAAAACATGACTAATACTCTTGCTTTCATCTCTACACTTAATCTTACAGCACCATAAAACTTTCTTGTGCCGATCTACTGGTGATCACCCCCATTCTCTTAGACACACGAAGCAGCAGTCGCTCAGGGAAAACAAGTCACCTGCACAGCAACAATAAACTCTTCAGCCAGCATTTTCTTCAAGCAGACTGGTAGAAAACTGCTAGCTTAGTGTCTAAGGCTATCATAAAAGTCAAGCTTACTGCTTAATTGTTAGTTATGTGTATTTAGTTTGGATGTTTATTGCCTTTTTTCAACGCTTCAGTAATTCTACAGTAATTAACGCAAACAAGCTAGGATGTCCCCTTAGAGCTGTCTTTGTTCTCCCTACTTTCACAAGACATTAATTTCAGTTTTCCTTCTACTTTTCCTTCCTGAGTAATTTCTTAAATAACATTTGCAAACTGTTCACTCATTAAAATATTCAGCCATAAAAGATGTGGATTCACAAAACAACATTTACTCAACAAGTTCTTGCATCTTATTTGTGAAGAAGATCATTAACAGTTCAGTCTCTGAATACTTTAACAGGTAGATGTTTGAGAACTGGATTTATGGAAGTAGGATTTTGGCTTTTTATTCTTTATATTAGTTTAACCAAGAAAATGTAAAAAGCTACACTCCAACAAACTCCCATTTAAACAGCCAGTATCTCACAAAAATCTGTAAATACAGGATATGAATTTTTAAAATAAATACATAAATGTTACTTAGAAAGCCTTAAACACAGGGTCATGAGTAACAATAAAGACCCCATTGAACTAAAAATAATCTTTAGCGTTTATGTCAAATTTCAGGTCATAGAACTCTTCACTTAAAACCGAATAAATCACTAAAACACAGTACAAGAACAAATCCTCATTTTCGACAGGTATTAAAGCTGTGATGCAGACTTCATGCATTTTTTTTTTAATTGCAATATTACATTTTGCTATGGGATAGTGTTTTTAGTTACGCAAAATGTGTACTCTCAAAAGAATCAACTTAATTTATTCCTAGTTAAGAACTTCTGATTTAAACAGTGTGTGAGCATATTGAGCTCCTAATTCCATTCTGTGGCTAGCTCACAATAATCTAAAGAGGTATCGCGTTCTAATTACAATTTAAACTTGAAAGGCATTTTTCTTTAAATGGCAGCAAACAGGAAATGTTTAAACTGTGTCAAAGCCTTTGATGAATCTTTACAACTGCTCATAAAAGATCATCCTGCTTAAAATAATATTGATTTTTCATTTATTTTCCTAGATACTAGAAGATACACGTTTCATCTGATCAGGATCAAAGCTTCTCCCCCCTCCTGATCACTGGGATTAAATCAGCAATGTCATTTTACACATTTAAAAACTACACTGCTAAAGCAAGATATAAAAGTGTAGCAAGGCTGATCATAGAGACCTTAGAATAAAACCCCCTCAAGATTCCCTGTCTCTCTCCCTCTGCATTTGCTACGGAGCAGCTGTGCCTCACACAGATTCACATGAATGAAAATATAAAGGCGAGAAACCACCCACTTAGTTTATTTTCCATATGACTTTCCCGTAATTATTTTGTAAACTGTTCACACAACAATATATAAAAACATCTGCAAAAACAGGTAATTAATGTGTCAAGCCAAACTAATGCATTTTTTATGGTGTCCATGCTTCGTCAACTGTAATTATAACTCTTTTTAAGCAAATGATGATGTGTTTGTTGCAATGTGCAAGTGGTTATTTTAGATGCTCTGTTTACTATTACTGCAAACAGAATATAAAAACTCTACAGCTACTTTGTTGCACATATAAGCCTTCATCTACACAAGCACAAGCAGGCTGCTCCCTCATTTTCCAAAGGTTTTGCCTATTTCAAAGAAATAAAAATATCTTAAAATGAAAATTGGCTTTGGAAAGGCTGACCAGGCCACCCGCTGACCAAAGTAACAGTAGCCAGGGCATTAGGACAGCAGCCAATGATTTAAAATTTGTTCTTTAATTTTTATTTCTAAGGATGGCTCAGCTACAATATATTTACTAAAACAGACGTTCCTAACAACATTCAAATGATCTTGAGGGTTTGATAGAGGAAAACCACAAATATCAGAATAATTGTGCCATTGAGTTCATCTGTGACTTGCCTGCTTGTTTTCCCACAGTCCACTGATTTGAATAAAAAATACAGAGAAGCAGCATT